TTCTAATAACAAACTGTTCACGCATAGAACTCTCACTTTTCTCCAAACTGTACACAAGTTACTTTCGAGATCAAGACAAAATGTTTCCTTTCGAATGTGATGAACAGATGTAGCTCAAGTCATCACCAAAAATGCAGATGATCAAGCAAACGATGAGCACCTTAAAAGAGAAATCCAGACCCTAAAGATGGAAACCATAAAAAAAAGCATTCTTTCTCTCTCTTTTCTTTACCCGACATGTAACAGTAACTACTCATATGTTCAAAACAGTAGGTACCTGACAATGTCTGGTTCAATAATTCATCCTAATCTCTAACCAAAAGCAAACATCTAAAGCTTTTCAATTGCAAATCATCTCTATATTAAGATTATTATACAGATAGATTCACTTGTTTACCTTAGCTTGAAGAGCAATGTTCTTATCATTTGACGCGAACACGACAATGGATCTGTTTCTCTGCTTAGTATCTCTTACGCGATAAGCTTTGGGTATGAAGCAACTACTTCTCGCCGATAAGGACTGTGATATTGCATTGTACGGTACCGCCATTAACGAACTGAGATTTTAACCTAAAATAGCGAAGACGAAAGTGGCGGCGGATTAAAACCCTAATTTTCTCATGAGTTCTCTCAGTTACAGTGATGGGCCTTTTTAAAGATGAACCCAGCAATTTCTCTTTTAAATTGACGAAAATGCCCCTGTAATAATCAGAATTACAAAAACTTTAGAATTACAAAAACTTCCCTATTGACTTGTTTTAATTTCAATTCCACCTTTAGCTAAAGTTTTTTTTTTCCCCCTTCCTTGTCGAAAACCCTAAGAGATCTCCCACGAGTAATCTTCAAGCTTTTCACGGTGGTATCTCCGGTCATCTTCTCCGACGTCGGTTTCCCGATCAGGTAGGCGATTTTACAGTTCTATGTATGTGTCTGTCTCTTTTCTCGGTTTCTGGAATCGCTTCATGTCACGGTTTAGCTTCTCGATTTGTGGATTTGATGAAGATATAAGGCTTAAGTATTTTTGTTGTTTTTCTCGAATTCCAGATAATGAAAATTTATGGATTGGTTGGGGCTGATTCGAGTGTAACTACTAGTTGTCGATTTCGGTTTTGGATTTGATGAACTCGATCTTCTTTCTTCATGTTTGAATTGAAACATTAACCTAGAAATTGTAATAGATTGTTTCTGATCGGTACTGGATTTGGTGTAGCACTGCCAATTCCTGCTTGAGCCTCTGGTCTTCATCTATGTTTATGTTTCCATGTTTATGATTTGTAGGTAAGCTCTAGATTCTCAAAGATGGCTGCTCCAAGGACAGGAGTCAAATCTTTGAAAGATTACTTGAAAAAGTATGAAAGTAGTGATGTGATTGAT